ACATATTTAAGACATTATTAGGCTTTTGAAAACTCAATAAAAAATTAAGCATTACAAAAATACAAATTAATTATTTGCTTTGTTTAATAGTTAAGAGATCTCATTAATTTGTTTCTGTTCATCAGAGAAAGCTAGCTGATTTCAAAAGTCCTAAAGAAATCATAAATATCATTAAGTTAGTCTTTTAATGAAGTTACAGTGTTTTGCTCCTCCCAATACCTATAACAAAGAAAGCACTTGGTAACCCAGTGCATTTTGATACCTTTGAGGCCTTATAATCTGCTCCCGTGAGCTAGATGTTTCTCCAGTTACCAAAAGAAATGCTTCTTAGGTTAACTTGAAGTACTTGTTTGAGTATGTAACAGAATATAGTCTTTCAATTCTACATATTTAGATATTTATTAATTAGTAATATTGGGTATAATAAAAATTTACTTTGGATATAAGTCAGCAGTCAGTTATTTAAGAATTATTTTGCATCTGCTCTTTTTTACAAGATTTTTTTTTCTTTTTGTAGTTTAGGGAATCAAACTTAGGGCCTTGTGCATGATAGGCAAGTGTTCTACCACTGAACTACACCCTCACACAATCTGCTCTTTTATAATATGCTTCATTTTCACTTAAGTAGAGAACTTAAAGAAGCAATGAACTTTTTGTTCCCACAATGGTTATTTATTAAGTGCCTTCTTTGTGCCTGTATTGTACTAAGAGCTCTTACCACACTACTTCAATTAGCTTAGTAAAAATTCACTGCTTCAATTTGTACTCGTAAAAAAATAGGATAAAATAAGTTTACCTTGCAACTGAGTTATGTCTAGCTCCAAATTTGGATCACAATACTAAAATAGTGAGATTAGGGTTCTGTCACGGAACCATCTCTCCAAAGGCCATCATCAGAGCTATTACTCTTTACTGTCTTACCTGAAATGTGTATATAAAATATGACTTCATCAAATACTGACAATTAATCAAGTTTTGTGTAGAATCCTGTGGAAGCACTTGTGAAACAAATGCTCAGATGCAGTTTTATCTTTATAGTTGTTATAATCTTGGTTGTATGTTGTGTCATGAATGCTCTTGAACTAATGTCTAGGTTTTATGGTAAGGTGGAAGGATATCTACTTTGCCTTTATGTGAAGTTGGAGCTGACATCACTTTGAAGGCAGCAAACGTATTCTTTTCTAGGGTCTGTATTTCTTCCTCTGCATAGTGTCAGAGCACCTGACAAAACCCACTCATTGGCCCTGATGATTAATTTAATATTGTTATATTATTAATTTATATTTACTGAAGATAGTTTCACATATGGATATTTAAGATGATGTACACAAGCAAACAGATTTCTAATTCTATTTTTTAATGGTTAGGCTGGAGAAGGAAAGATAAGACAGCAGCAGGGAAAACTGTAGAGCTATAATAGAAGAAATATCAGAAATAGTTTAGCCTCTTTGAGAAACAGTATGGAAGTTCCTCAAAAGGTTGTATGCTCTAGCATTTCCTTTCATTGGTATATAACTCATATTCATAATACCAAAAAATAAATACCGAAATATCAGTCAGTGATGAATGACTAATCCAATGTGGCATATCCCTGCAGCAGAACATTATTCAGCCATAAAAGGAATGAGATACTGTTACAGGGCACAATCTGCATGAGCCTGAAATCATTATGCTAATAGGAAGGAGTTACAAGAGCATACATATTGTGGGATCTACATATTTAGATGTTCTCAATAAGTAAGTCCATGGAGACAGAAAGCATGAATGGTTGGCAAGAACTGAGAGGATGGAGCAAATAGAGAGCAACTTCTCTGGGTATGAGATTTCTGGAGGGAAGGAGGATGTTCTGGAATTAGTGATGATGGTCACATGGCTTATAAATATATCAAAAAAAGACACTGAATTGTACACTTTAAAAGGGTGAATATTATATGAATTATCAATTTAAACAAAATTTATTAAATGATTCATTGTATTTGTAAAGATCTTACTCTTAAAATGTTACTATATGTATGTATATATATATAGTTGAAATATGAACATTTTGAATTTTAAATGATAGTTAAATATAAAATAATCATGCAATGTCCTTCAACTAAATGATTTGCATACTATGGGAAAATAAGTAGACATTTTATCTACCATCTACATTTTGTATTTTAAAATCTGTCTCTCTCTTCTCTCTCTTTCTCAGGTTGAAGTAATAAATCAAACCTAACTACTTTGGGGTATATTTTCAAAGATCATGTCTTTAACATAAACACAGTGCAATTATCAAATGCAGGAAATTTTGCACCGATACAATGTCAATTTCTAAAATACCATCCATATTCAGTTTGCCATCTGTCATGATACTGTTCTATTTTATAGCAACTTGTTTTTCTGAAACCAGTATCAATTTAATTGCTGTGCCTGTTCACTTTCTTTTATTCTGAAAGAGTTCCTCAGCATTTCTTTATGACATTGATATTTTTAGAGTGCAGGACTGTTGTTATTTCTAAGACAGTCCCATCAATTTTGGTTTGTCTGACAGTTTCCTCATGCTGTGATTCAGGGTATGCATTTTTTGTAGGAATACTGCCTGTGTTCATTTACCAGGGTACTGTAACAAACTACCAAAATCTGGTTTGCAATACCAGAAATTTATTTTCTCACATTTTTGGAGGCTTTGAATCAAGCTATCAGCAGTCTACCTTCTCTCTGAAGATACCAAGGGAGAGTTATTTCTTGCCTCCTGCTGCTTTGGGGGATGCCAAGCAGACCTTGACTTGAGGCAGCAAGATATCAATCTCTACTTCCTTCTTCACATTGCCTTCTTTTCTTCCAGTTTTTCTCCTCTTTTGGTAAGCACATTTATTGGGTTTGGGGCCAATCAATTAATACAGGATGATCCTGTCCTGAGGTCACTAACATCTGCAAAGACTCTGTTTCTAAATAAGGTTACAGTTACAGGTTAGGGCATACTTTTTGGCTCCACCATGCAACCCACAATAATAACTAAGTGATTATGTGTCTATCTCAGTGGGTAATATCAAGATGATTCAGCTATGGATGGAGCTAGAAAATTATTTTTTTTAAATCATAAATTCATACTGATACTCTTAATTCAAATTAAATATTAGTTTTTTCTTGCCTCCCACATTCCATGTTTGTATATTCTTTCTTTCACAGTGAGAATCCTAGCTCATAACATTACCAAAATATTTACTTACTTGGTCAATCTTACAATAGATTGATACTTCTATATCATCATCAAAAATAAACTTGCCAGAGCAGAGTTCATACTTATAATCCCCAACTACTTGGGAGGTAGAGATTGAGAGGATTGTGGTTTAAGGCCAGCGCAGGTAAAAGGTTAGCAAGACCCCATCTCAATGAGCAAGTTGTCCATGGCAGTGAGTATCTATAACCCCATCAGGGAATGGCTCAAGAGCACTTGCCTAACAAACATAAAGCCCTGAGTTCAAACCCCTAGTATTGCAAAAAATAAATATAATAAATAAATAATAAGATAAACTTGCCAAATAAGGGTCAAGATTTCTCTTTGTGGGTTTTTTTTTTTTTTGGTTGTTGTTGTTGACTGAAGGTATTTTTAAATTCAAACATTACTTGCATTAATTCATCCCTACCCCATACTGTGTGCTTATGTTAACTATTTGATAGCAACATTCAGTTCATTTGGTTTTGTTTGTATTAAATTTTAGGACTTATTCTTTCATTCTTGTTGGTTTAATTTTATTTATCAAATAGTAACATTTTAGCATGAGTCTAAAAGTGAAAAACTGTATGGAAAGGTTAGTGAATCATCCCCTTCCCTGCCCACTACCCCATCCACCCTGTCTTGTTCCTTCCACCTCCTCCAGTTTTGCCAGTTTCTGCCTTATTCCTCCAGTGTTTCCTTTTATAGATATAGTCAGGTGCATGTATGTTTTACTTGCTTTTTTCCCATGGAGGGTGATATACTATATATCAGTGGTTCTCTGCTACAAATAGGTTTGTTTCCTAGGGACATTTGGCAATATCTGGAGAGAAATTTTTGGTCACCACTGGCAGGGGTGCTTCTAAGATCTAGAGGGTAGAGACCAGGCATACTGCTAAATGTCCTACAATACATGGGGTGGCCCTTGGCATTAAGGAATTATTGGATCCAGTATGTTGCCTCTGCTGATAAGAAGTCCTGCTGTCTGTCTGCCTGTGCATTTTCCTTGTCTGCTTAACAGTCCCCTATTGATATTGATCATAGAGAGCTGCCTCATCCTTTCCTATAGCTGTATAGTAGATGTACTATAATTTATTCAGTCTCCTTTGGGCACAATTTTCAATATTTTTCTATTACAGATGATGCTATAATGGATAGTCTTATGAATATTTTTTCCTCTGTGGTATTTTTAGAAGTATATTTTCAGAGTAAGTACCCAGAAGTTTGTCATGGGACAGACTGTATGTCAGTTTGCCAAATCTTCTGCAAAGGGGTTGTACCATTTTGCATTTTCACTGTAATAAGAGCTCTTGTTAGCCCACAGGCCTGCTAGTGGAGTGAGTTATCATGCTGTTGAATTTTTGCTAATAAGAAAGAAACTCACTGTCATTTAATTTGCATTTTTCTTACTAAGAACGTTTTTAAATTTGGTTTGTTTACATTGCTGAGTCAACCCCCCAAATTTATGTAATGCTTAACCCAAATAATTTGGATGAAGTCCAGAGGTGACCTTTATCAATATAATAGAGGATTTATTTCTCTGAAAATATCAAATAATTTCTTAGAGAAGTTTTTCTTGTCTGTGTCCCAATAAAGTTTTTTTATAAACATAACAGGGTATTATTTTGTAGTGTATATATTTTGTAGTGCCTGAGAGTAACATACTCATCACCAGGTAACAAATATAATCCTAAAATGCAGTATTTCAAGCCTGCTGTGCTGTTTTCTAGCCAACAGGATGTCACCCTGTGTAAGCTAAACTGACTTTGCACTAGGATTTTTGTGTGCTTGCTGTTTTCAGGCCCTATATGTCTCTCGGAAGTCTTCGGGACCAAGTCATTTATCCTGACTCAGTGGATGACATGCATAATAAAGGTTACACAGACCAAGATTTGGAATGCATTCTTCATAACGTCCATCTCTACCACATAGTTCAAAGAGAAGGAGGTAGAATATGTCACTCTTTTTAAAATGCGTTTAACCTCATTAAAAATAAGCTTGGTTCTATGTTTGGTTTGTGGTTTAATTTGAATCTATGCTATTATTAGAACATAAGCACATCAGTGTAAAGAAGTGTTTTATTGTTTTTCCATTACTGACATCCCCTTTTCTGCTTTTATAGCATACTAAGCTTTATCAAGTCTCTGTGTCACTACTAAGCTAGTATTTTAAAACCTTTTTATACTCAAATGTACAAATGTCCCTGAGGCCATTGCCATTCCTGATATATGTGAAGTGTCTGGCAGTTCTCTCAGCTCACATTAAATTTAATAATTTGTAAAGTGGGTCTTACAGAACTTCTTTTATGTTTTCAGTTCCACAGTCTTATCAATACATGTTCCTCTCTCATGCAGCACATAAGAGAATAATATCATGGATACATCCTTCTGCATTGTGCTTTTTTTTTTTCAGAATAAACACTTCTGAAAGAGTGGGGGTGATATTTATGCATATGACCTTCATAATAATTATCATATAATAGTCATACCTTCACTTCAAGTAATTTGGTAACTCATATAATTCAGTAGCCTAGAAACATACTAACAAGCCAAATTCCAGGTGTAATTATGCATGGATTTGATGCTCTGTTTCACAGCTCAGTTATATTACTAGAGGAAGCAGTGTAGTACAGTGATTGAGAACACATAGCTGTAAAATCGAATCCTATTTGGCACTACTCTCTGTATGTTCAACTGTAAAATGGGGATAAATGTATTTTAATAAGGCTTTTGTGGAGATTAAATAGACTATATGTAAAGCAGTTAGCATGAGTAATACACAAAAGTTAATAGTAGGTGATATTAGTGGTTATAACATTGATACTAATGGTACTTTATCTTTATGTAGTGGTATTTGATAGCAGTTTCACAGATATTCTGTCATATGATTCTTACAATAAACAAACAAGCAACAGGGATATTATTATATTCATTTTTACAGTGCTTATAATTTCTACTATCTGGAAAAATTAGATAATCTTTTTGTTTCATGCAGTCATCTTCCCAATTACAAAATACTGTGGCAGAGAAAATGCCACATGTTTGTCTTGGGCAGATTATTCTCTGTAAGTCTGAAATCCAATGATTCAAACAGAAATTTAAAATAAACAAGAAACAATGCATTCCTTAAAAAATGACAAAGGAGTTCTAGAACTATTTTTAAGAATATTCCAGGCCTAGAGCGTAATACTGCCATGCCTTAGGCATGTGATAAATTTTATTCTTTCCCTGTTAAAGAAATGTTAAAAAATGGATATTCCAACCTTAGTGATATAATAATTATTATCATTTATTGATTGTTATGCAGAATTTATCATATTAAGCAATTTACATATATCATTTTATTTAATATTCATAGTAGTCCAGTGAGGTAGGTTTTGGTTTTATTATTCCCATTTTACAGTTCAAATTCAGATTAGATGGGGACTGGAGTTGTGACTCAAGTGGTAGAGTACCTGCCTAGGAGGCACAGGCCCTGAGTTCAACCCTTCATATCATGAAAAAAAGTCAGGTTAGTTGTTTACCCACATTGCATAGCAAGTGGTAGAACAGGAATTCAAAAATATCTGAATTGAAAGTCAGGGTTCAGTGCAAGGCTAGATTACTACGCTCTGTGACTACCTAGATTTTTTTACTTTAATAAGAATTCTATATACTTATACTTTAAAAATTTCCATGAAAACTAGTTTTACTTGTTTATTTCTTAAGCAAAGCAGGAAAACGCTTCAACTTGCAAGTATATTGCTTCCTTCGGAAAAAGCCTACTGATGTTCTACTTAAGCTAGCTAATCTTTTGCTTAATAAAGGCTGCAGGTAAGAACCATATCCCATTCCATCAAACAGGTTATGAAAATAGAAAAGAAAAGGAGGGGTAGCAATAGACATGGACTGAAAAAGTTTATGGATCTCTTAGAAGCAGAAAAATCATTTCCTTCTTCCCTGGCCTATCTCACTAAACAGCATGAGAGGCAGCATTGTGACTCAGAGTTCTGATTTGTGTGTGGTATTACCTATAAAATCTTTTGGTTTAGTAGAACAAAGGATGTAGTTTATTAAAATATGTAAAAGTTAAAGTTTCCTTTGACCAAAATACTTTTCCCTTGTGTTGTGTCCTCAGTAGGCAGGGAGAAAATATTTTAAGCCCAGAGTATTTCACCACTGTGTAGCAATTTGAATCTGTTTCTCAAATCATCACATATTTCATAAATGATATAATCTTCAGTCATAGGGGAAAAGTTATTTCAACAGTTTTCCCCAGAAGTAGGAGCTTTCAATGAGATGGCATTTGACACTATTTTCCTAATATAAATTTATAAAGATATTTTTAAATAGATAAGCAACTTCTGGAAGCTTACTCAAGAAAATTAACAGTAGGCCTCTCTGAAGAGTGAACTTGAGGGCATCAATAAGAAATAAGGGAAAGTCTTTTTCCCCAGATACTTTTGTTTTGATTATTTTTAATATATTACTTTTATTAAACTCCTTTGTTTATTTTAATATTGGAATAGATAACATTTCCACATTATTCAAAAATTTTAAAGTATTTTTAAATGTACTCTTAAAAACTCTGTTTCTGTTTTTTCTCATTCAGTTATCACCCACTTATTAATAGGTAACCATTGCTTTTATTTTCTTATTTATAATTTTAGACTTTTTTTTGAGACAGGGTCTCACTGAGTAACCCAGGCTGGCCTCAAACTCTCAATCCTCCTACTTCATCCTCCTAAGGTGCTGGGATTACAGATGTATATCTCATTCAGGCCCAGTCTAATTTTAAACTTTTTTTTTGAAAAATGCAGTAGACTTTATAATGATAATTTTTTTTGATATTGTGTTTTGAACTCAGGACCTCATGCTTGCTAGGCCATTCCCCCAGCTGTTTTTTGCTTTATTTATTTAGGTTTTTTTTTTTTTTTTTGGATAGGTCTTACATTTTTGCCTGGAATCAGTGTCAGACTAAATCCTCCTACCTGTGCCTCCCTTGTAGCTGGGATTGCAGCTATGTGTCATCATGCCCAGCTTGTTGGTGGAGATGGGGGGGGAGTCTCACTAACATTTTCCCCAGGCTGGCCTCTAACCACCATCCTCCAGATCTCTACCTCCCAAGTAGCTGGAGTTACAAGCATGGAGCACCACACCCAGCCTGTAATGAGAACTTTTAAAAGAAGAAGACATTAAGAAACATAAAAGATGCATTCTGTGTTTAACAATTAACGTATATTATTCTGTCAAAGGCTCTAAACTTTTGTATGTCAGAAGAGAAGCCTATATTTTCCATCTTATCAGTAAAAGAATCAAATAATCACTCTGATCATTTGGTTTTTCAAATACCCAGTGCACATAAGACAATGGAGACTCTACTTCCTATTTTCTTTCCCTTTAACTAAGTTTATTTAGAAATTTTAATAATGATGGGAATTCAGCTGAGGGAGAAAAAGGAGAGCAAAGAGCATGGAACTTTTCCAAGTGGAAGAATTAAACTCTGAACACTTAAGATTTGGAAAAGTTTCCTTAAGGATTTGTCAAGTTTTGGCAGTCATTTCCTTTTTTTAAAAAAATTGGGTTCTGCAGGAGTGGGACTATGGTTTCATTTTTCAGTAATCTTCCATTTTGCTAATTATAAAAGTCAGATAGTCTTGTAAAACTTTCAAATATTACAAAATGTATCATTTAGAAAATAAAAGTCTTGGGCTGAGGGTGTGGCTCAACCACAAGGCTATGAGTTCAACCCCCAGCACCACCAAAAAAAACCTCATAATTCCATCCCTAGATGTGTTTCTATGTGTGGTATATATATGATTATTTACAGAAATGCAGCCATACATAATTCTGCAGCTTAATTCTTCATGTAAAAATTTCTGGGCACATTTTCATATGAGAGTATATAGATCTAACTTAGTTTTTTTTTTAATATGTCTTGCTTTTTTAATAAATATCAAACATGAAACCAGGAGTTAAGATGACTTAAGAGAGAAACTTCACAGAAAAACTGTAAAAAAGCATGAGAGAGACCTAATTAAAATCTTAAATTTTTCGTTCCTTTCTCACCTTTTGTAGGTTTTGCAGTCAACCTATGGACATTTTTTAGTCTTTTTTCCCACCAACCCCATAACAATATAAGTCCACCAACCCTTTGGATGTGAGAAACAAATTTTATAAAGTGTCAGTGTTCAGAATTCTTACAACATGGTTTGTCAATATAATGAATTAATACCATTAAAAGAATATCACATCTCATACAAAATGTTTGTACACAAATCTCTCCAGTTTATCCAAATATACATTCCATAAAATGTCAGGTTTTTCAGAACTTTCTAGGAATCAGTTGTCCAGGGTAGAAACAGTAACAGTTAAATAAATTACTAATAAAATATATCTTTTTTTTAGGTTGGGATGCAGTTATGGACTGGAAAGATGTCCTGTCAGGAGGGGAGAAGCAAAGAATGGGCATGGCTCGGATGTTTTATCATAAGTAAGTATGCTCTATTCAGGTAGCTGCCATTCCATTGTTGTAATAACCAATGAAAAGTTGGGCAGATTCAGTAATTTCAATTTTTTTCTCTTATTTGTGTATATTAATTATACAAAGGGGCTTCATTGTAATATTTCTATACTAGAAGTTTCATCCTAAGTTTTAAAATGTCATTCTAAAAACCAATGCACAGAATTACAGTTTTTAAATTTATTACAGCATTTTTTATAGCAGGATCTCCAAGTGGTTTTTTTTTCCTCCTTTTATGTTGCAAAACCTTAGATGAAATAATGTACTAAAGGCTAAATTAAATTATGTATCCTAACATTTAAAGTAGGATTATTATTAAGTTTAAAATGTGAAAAATACATAACTACTGCTATACTACTATAGACCCTGTAGCCAGGCATTCAGTAACATTTCTGAATTAAATCATTAAATTCAAATAAATCAACATTTTAAACATTCATTGAAAATTAAGAGGCACTTCTAATGGGAAAGGGTATCAATCCACATAGGTCTTAGTGCACTCAGGAAAGTCAAGATGCAGGAAATAATTTTCTTTGATAAAGCTTTTTCTTTGTGACATCAACTTCATTACTTTTTGAGTTTAAGGACACCAAGTCCATAACATGGGAAGGAAATAGCCATTCTGATTCACTTCTCTTATTTGTCCTATTCTTCTCTGAAAAAGAAATATTCCCTCCCCTACCCCTCTCTCTCTCTGAATTGTGCAGAGTAGAAGGTTATCAGGAACTCACTCCTAGTACTTAACTTTTGGGCAAAAAAGGGCTGTACACAGATACACAAATGGGCCATATATTAGGGCAGATGCAGCACTCAGGAATGAGTTTGAAGAGCCAGCAGCAACACTTTTGTAGAGAACTTTAAAGACTAATAAAGAGAGCAGAAAAAAAATACCATGTTGCTTATTGAACATTTAGCAATTAGTTGTCATTATTTTAAAGCTATTTAATTATGGAAAAATATAAACCTTCATCAAAACAGAGAAATTATGAAATGGACCCCATATTCCCTACACTGGTTCAATAAGACTAACATTTGCCACACTTGATTATCTACTCTTTTTTTTTTATTCTAGGTGTTTTAAAGTAAATCACAGACATTGTAGCATCTTTGCCCTAAATTCTTTGACATCAATCTATGAAATATTAGGAAATATTTTACATAAAAGCATGTCATAAGTGTATGTAATTAAACTGGAACTAATTACTTAAAGTTATCTAATACCTGGTTCATATTCAAAATCTCCCTGATTGTCTAAAATTCTTTTTATACTTGGTTTGTTGAAAACAAGATCAAGTGTAGCTGGAATTACAGGTATGAGCCACCATGCCTGGCTGAAATGAACAGATTTTCAGTGCATAATTCAATAACTTTTGATAAATATATATACATTATATAACCAACACTCCAGCGAAGACCAAGACCATTTCTGTCATCCTAGAAGATTCCCTCATGCCCTCTTTCCTGTCATATCCCACCATAAGAACATTCCTGTTCTGGTTTCAGTTATCATAAATTACTTTTGTCTGTTTTACAGTATGCAATCATACAGTGTATGTTTTCAAGTCAGGCTTAAAACATGTTGTTTTAAATAATGCACATAACTTAATATAAAAAACTTTTTAAAAATGAGCAAATTTTGCTAACTCAGAATTTTTAGTGAAGTGTGTTTTAGAATGCTACTTTCTCAGATGGGATTCAAGAGTAAACTTTGTGGCTTGACATTTATGACCAGCTGTTTTGCCTATCATCCTGAATCTGTTTGGGTCTTTTCCATAAATACTCAGTAATATGATCATCAACATAGTTAATGAAATGTATTACGGTGGAATGTAAAATGTGGCCATAAATTTCTCATTGTTGTACTGTGTTCGTTGGATAGCCTCTGTAGTAGAGAACAAAAGACATTAATAAAAAATGTTAATCCAAAAAATTTTTAAATGACTGTAACTTGGAATCATTGATATTTGTGTATATAAAATATTTTGGATATGATGTAATGATGAGTGATGATCAAATCCCTAAGATTATTGATAGAAGGCATATTTTGTGATCTGTAGAGAGATCAATGAAGATGAGCAAGTAGTTGAAAAGTAGTATCTTTTGAGGACAAAAAAAGGAATGAGACAGTTAAACCCAGTGAAGGAAAATTATAATGTTGAAGAACTGCCTCCTCTTATCCTCAGAGGATTAATAGTAAGGTTTGAATTAGTAACATGAAAAGCTTGAACTAGCTAAACTGGAGACCTTGACAGGATATACTAAGTATTACAATAGTATACATTTTAATTTTAATGTTTAAAGAATGATCAGGAAAGTCCTGTCTTGAAGGGGATAGATTAGGTTCCTCACAAGTTCCATCTACTGCTGATGCACCAAAGGAAAAAGGAAGGAAAATCTGATAAACAGTATTATCTAATGCTTTATTTAGGTATAGTAGTACCAGATTCCAGCTATATTGCTCAATATATTTAAATACACACACAATCTCTCTCTCTCTCTCTCTCTCTCTCTCTCTCATACACACACACACATACATACATACATACATATATACATACACACACAAACTCCTTAACCCTGCCAAGGACACAAAGTGTGTGATTTATCTTACATCTGCTAGACTACAGGTAGCTATGACAGCAGAGTGTAAAATAGATATTCTTTTCTAATTCTAAAATGCCATCTTTTCTCTGTTTAATTTAAAGCACTCTGAAAAGTAAGACAATATACAATAAACAAATTAGTTATTAGAGTTATATAAAAAAAAGAAATTTTTACCCAAAATTCCCTTTTATACTTTCTTTTCTTCTTCCTCTTTTTCTCTTAATTAAGATTATTCATAAAACAGTAATCAACTGAGACAATGAAGTAATGATATTTAACCCAGAACAGTAAGTAAAAGCTGACCCTAAAGCTACTTCCATTGATGTGGTCATGGGGAAGATGCATGGATCTGTAGTTCTTTGTGTGGTAAGCAGCTTTAGAGTCCAGTGGGGTATGAGGTTGCCTTTGACTCCCTTTTTAAAAATGTTTTAGTCTTCTGTTTATTATCATATTATTGTTGTCCTGAGGTTCATTTATAGAGATGCTTATAATAAATCTTAGTGAAATTCATCCCCTCCATCATTCTCCTTTATCCTACCTCCCCCCATTCTTAAATAGTTTCAAGGGGTCTCATTTTTCTATTTTCATACATGAGTACATAATATTTCCACCACATTCACTGTCTTACACCCTGTCCTTGTATCCTCCCCCTCCCACTGGTACCATCCTCACAAACAGGACCTGTTTTACCTTGCTGTTCTCTGTTCATGAGAAAAAAATGCATTTTTGATTTATTTAAGATAGCTATACAGGGAGTTTCATTATGATATTTCTATATCCCAAATTGGTTCATCCTTCCATTTTTCTCCTTTCTACCTTAGTCCTCTTCTTATGGTGATTTCAACAGGTTTAAAAATTCTGTATTCATCAGCCATATTTACCTTACCTTTAACTTTTGTATCTATTAGCCTTGACTACCCATGCTGGAATAGGTAATGGGAGAGATCCTTTTAAGAAGCAAATCCATCTCAGAAAAGTAACCTATAATTCTAAGTAATTAGTTATGCTGAAGAGAAATTACTACTTATTCCATGTTTTCCTTTTCTTTGTTTGATTTAAAATGCAAAAACTATCTTCATGAGGGAATTTATCCTGGCAGATTCTTGGAACTGACTTTCAACCCCCAAATGAATAGCAAATGACAATGTAGGTATTGACTTCAGTCTAATTAACTAAGCTAAGTCATATTGCTGAATGCAAAATAAACACCTAAGGTCCAAGATATGATTAAAAGGAGAAAGGGAAAGGACAAAGAAAGATAAAAGCAGTAGTCTAATAACAGAGCAGAAAAAAAACAGTACAGAGTGAAAGGGTGCTTCTGATAGTACACACTCATTACCAAAGTAAAAAATGAGCTAGGACAAAAAAATAATTTTGGGGCTGGGGATGTAACTTAGTGGTAGAACACTTGTTTCACATATGCAAGTCCTGGGTTTGATCCCTACCACCGCACACACAAAAATTGTTAAGTACAGCCAAAAACAAAGTACTGATTTTCCCCTAAAAATTTGATTCTGAAACATGATTCCAACAGTATAAAGTTAAATGTCTACTCTAAGACTGTAAGTAGGCACATTCATAATTACAGTCTTATAGTGATGAAATTCCATTAGTAAGGCATAGGTATTCACATTGCTAATAGAATAATCTTCTCACTAAATCTTTGCTAACAGGACTGTGGCCTGCTTAATAGTTAGCTCCTGTAAATGCATTGTTCATTTAATTAGACCAGGAGGCTTACAGGCGTGAGCCACTGAAGCCCAGTTTTGTTCTTTTCATACCTTTGAAGTTGTTAGCATTGCAACTCCTATTGTCCAAAGAAAGATATATAGTTCATATAGAAAAATCATTAATTTGTTTGTGTCTTTTAAAGACCAAAGTATGCATTGCTCGATGAATGTACCAGTGCTGTCAGCATCGATGTTGAAGGGAAGATATTTCAGGCTGCAGTAGGGGCTGGGATATCCTTACTGTCTATAACACACAGGCCTTCTCTTTGGTAAGTATTTCAACACTAACTAATCTTTGGTTGACAGTTTTTCCTTATATTTCTTGAAGAATAACTTTACTAAAGTTTCCACTGTAGAACTTAAGGTGTTTCACTTATTTTCTGTCTTTCTCCTGAGTTTCACCCTAATAGTTTAGATACTCCCAACTTGATATATGTGTTATTTGGAATGTGTTATTTGGAAATTCTCATCACTTTGTAGTAATTTTGAAAAGTTTTATAAAAATCCAATGATTTATTTGAATTGAACATATTTATCATAATCTTAATATATTCTGGGAAAGAATATAAATTTATACATTTTGTACCTTTTTAGTGCCTTCTTTAAAATCCAAGAGAAACATATACTATAACTTGCATTTCCCAAAATGACTACATTAGAAAAAACACACAGAGAGGGAAAGCTTATTTTGTTTTGTTTTAAGGAAAAGTTAAAAACTTTTACAAATAATATCTCACTAAACATAATGGGGTTTCCCTTTTAAAAGAGATGACACAATTTTTATGAGTTCCCTATTTTTCCATTGATTCATCACCATAATAATTCTGATGAAGATTTAATACCTATTCAATTCAGACTTATTTAACACAACAGCATGATGGAGTATAGGCACTCTAAGTCTCCCATTTTATAAGTGAAGAAACTGAGAACTAGAAAGAGAAAAATAGCTTCTATTGTCACATGCTCTGTACTACAGCATATTGCTGTGCTTACTGTAAGGAATGGAAATTGTATCCCATACCTGAACCGTAAAACACTTGTCCATTCACACTACATTCTACCTCCTCTACTTTTGTGTTTCTGTCTCATCAATCAGAACCTTTTCTCTTGACATATTATTAACTATAATTCACTCTCTACATGTTTTGGCCTCCCATTCCCACGAGTCTACACAAGCCTCCTCCTCTTTCTGTGAGGTAGCTGGTCAGATTCCATGTGGTGTATGTGGCTGCCAATCTAGACTAGCTGCATCTTTTATTTGATTTCATCCTGTAAGTCCTTTGGATCTTTTCCTTTTCAGAGAATGTTTAGATTTAAATTATGAGCAAACTATTCAGTTCATGTCAGGAGTTCATTGTTCAAAGTTCTTTAACTCTGGATTCCATTTCTATTAAGAGGATAAGAATCTATATTCACACTGCACTTAAACATTCAGACTTTTTTTTTAGAATTTTTCCTTCTCAGAGAGTAGACCTGAAAGTAGAGCATTTCACAAAGTGACCCTATCTATGGAACTCTATGGTTTGTCTCTCCATCATAAGAATTAAGTGGGGGAAGCTGGGTGCCTGTGGTTCATGTTTGTAATCCTAGCTACTTGGGAGTGGTTCAAAGCCAGCCAAGGCAGATAGTTCACAAAACTCTATCTCAGAAACACCCTACACACAAAAGGGCTGGTGGAGTGACTCAAATAGCAGAGCACCTGCCAAGCAACTGTGAGGCCCTGAGTTCAAGTTCTAGTACTGCAAAAAGAAAGAAAGAAGGAAGGAGGGAGGGGGGGAGGGAGGAAAAGAAGGAAGGAAGGAAGGATGGATTAAGCGGAAGCCAAGCATAGTGGTGCATGCCCGTGATCCCAACTACTTAGGTTAAAGAAGGAGTATTGGGTATTAGAGACTAGCTTGGTCAATATCAAGAATATGTGTTCTTTTTTTTTTTAAAGTGGCACGTGCAATGGTAGGACCCTGGTTTTGCTAATTGCTCCAGAAGCAGTCTGAATCTAGTCCAGAATGAGTTAGAGTCCATGTCAATAAATGTGATTTCTCTGACTTTTTCCTTCAGAAGCCAACAGGATCTGGACCTTTAAGACAATTATGACATTTACCTGTAAATCCGCTAAGGTATTTAGGTATGACACAGAGCTAGGCCAGAGTTCCTGAGTCCTTTTTGGCATGGTCTTGTGATTTCCAGACAGGCTCCCAAATTATCACATGTTGGGACAACAGAATTATCTCAGTACCGGTGTTCTTCTGACCTCTATCAGTAGATTTATTATGCTATCCTGTCATGCAACTCCTTGTGTAAATAGCCTAAAGAGACATTGGAAGCATCTTCAGCCCTTGTTTTCTCAATTGAAGGAACAAATAATTCTATAAGCAAGTAACAAAATCTGTAATGCTTTTTTAACAAGAAAAACATTTTTAACTGTAACTACCATCAGTACATTTCACCATAAAACTAAATGTCAGGTTAGTTCTTTGTAAATTAGTTTAGCCGTATTAGGTTGTAAAAGTTTGTCATTTCTAATTATCTTTTCTCCTAGGGAAATTAAAATTTTATTTTCCCTGAAAAGACTTCAGAAGTGATAATAGACGTATTATGTTTTTTCCAATAACAAAAAATGGCTAATAGCTTATTGTAAAGAGTAAAATGAATACCAGTATATAAAGAAGTAAAAATGATAGCATATTAAACTATTTGGCTCAAGCGCTTTATCCTATTTGTGAAGGAGTTCTACAAGTAATTTCTAATGAATCTCAGTTAAAATACCTATTTTTCTTGAATTACTCTGATGACAATAAACCTTGAAATACTATTTTAGCTCATAATGTAGAATATGCCTTCAAATCTCAGCGCATGAAACACCTACACAATCTGTTCCTTTTATCTAGAAATAAGTAATGTTGTAGGACCAGAGTGACGAGTCAAACCTTCACTATACATTGAAGGTAGCACTTGTACAAGATATGAACAACCACATTCTAAATTTATTCCTGGCTGTGGATTCAAGACTAGGAAAGTCCAAATAAGGTTGAGAATGAAGAAAACAAAATGAACTTTTTGCCATTATTTCTCTTTCTTAAAATATACTGTTCTTTTGTTTTTCCAATACTTTTTATGTTAACTTTCATATTTTAATAGCAGATTGTTTTTGCACTTCTGCTCTTGACACAATAATACATTGTTTTAAATTTAATTTTGGCTTTGTCCCATTTGTTGGGAGGTCAAATTTCTGGGATGCTTAATAACCTTAGTATGTGAAAAAGATTGTTAATGTCTGTCATATGTTATCAAAGGGATAAATTTAACATTCAACTTGACAATGATTTTGCTCTTTTAACTATAGTTTGGCTTAGCTAAATTTCCCCTTATCCAGCATGTTAAAAACATTTAGTCAAAGGGGGTTGGGGCTTAGGGCATAACTCAGTGATAAAGCATCTTTACCTAGCATGTGTTCAGTCCTCAGCACCACAAGGTGGGGCAGGGAAGGTTTGGAACCCAAATGTCCATCAGTTAATGAACAGATAGACAAATGTGAAATGCCATATAATGGAATATAATTTGGCCATGGAAACAATAAAATAGTGAACAACTGGATGAAGCTTGAAATCATTTTGATAAATGAAAGAAGGCAGTCAGAAAAGGTCACACTGTATGGATTCCATGTATATGAAATATTCAGAAACAGACAGATCCATAAAGATCAAAGAAGATAAGTAGTTGGCAGGGGCTGGAGGAAGAGGAAGTGGAAGGAGTGCTGATAAGCACATGGGTCACAAAAAATGTTCTAGAATTAGGTAGTTGTGGTAGTAGTTGCATAAGCTTGTGAATATATTGAAAGTGCATATTGAAATGTAAGAATCACTGAATTTTACACTTTAAAGGATGATTTAGGGCATGTGAATTATATCTCACTTTTAAAAAAGATGATGCAGAAGCTGCATGAAAAGGCCAACTAGCCATAGTAAATAATAATAGGTAAGAGCTTAGTAGAAAGCAAGAAGCAAGAAAAACTATAAAGGAAGACAGAAAAACTGAAGACACATGGACCAGTTAAGCAAAGTGGCAAAATGCAGGTGGCTGAGCCATGGCAATCAGCTCAGCCAACTTGCTCTCTCCACACATCCCCACAAATCCTGAGTCTGGCCACCTCACCTCCCTAGAGGAGAAGATGGGCTATCTCCTGTCTCATCAATAACAACCTCTGTGCTTCCAACCTATGTAACTGAGCCATGAAAAAAAAACATTAAATTATGTGAAGCCATGAAAGTGTCTTTAAAAGATTTCTATCAAAGAGTTCATTTAAAAAATATTTCTAAACTTTAATTGTTGAGAAATTCTTACTTGTATGGAAGAACTCACATCCAAGGGTTGGTATGTTAATGAATTGCTACTGTATTTTCCTTTAGTTTCCTTAGTTTTTCTCTATGTGATCTTTTTTATTTTACTTTCCTCAGTTTCCTTTTTTTACTTCCATTCTAAGAATGCTTTATTATTTTTCCTGGGTTATGAAGATTCAAAGTATAACATTATAACTAAAGTAGCTTTCACAATTATGGCTGTTAACATTATTTCATTTTAATTATGCAGGAAATACCACACTCATTTATTACAATTTGATGGTGAAGGAGGCTGGCGCTTTGAGCAATTGGATACTGCTATCCGTTTAACATTGAGTGAAGAAAAACAAAAGCTAGAATCTCAGCTAGCCGGAATTCCCAAAATGCAGCAGAGACTCAATGAACTATGTAAAATTTTGGGAGAAGACTCAGTGCTGAAAACAATCAAAAATGAAGATGAGGCATCCTAACTTGCTTTGACATGTTTTAAAAGTTAATTTTTAGGTAAAGGCTCAGAGACACTCTATTATAGTGCATGCAGTGTGTTAAGCTAAGCACAGAGAAAACTAAAGCCAGCAAGAAATCTTTTATATGTCTTAGCAGTAAGGAAGCATATGATAACTTTTTAGAAGAAAATAAACAAATGTATTATGTAAAATTAGTCATTGTGGCTTATACTAATACCTAGTGAAAGCCTAAGTCACCTGTAAAACAGGATTTTCTAGGTGAATTCATGGTGAATACCAGATTACTGTATATGTGACGTGTCAGAGGTTCTTAGTATGGATGATATCTTGGAAATGAAACAACTTAAAAGGTTGATATCAGGTACATAAATCAGAACTTCGACTACCATTTCAGCCCATTTATGATTGATATTGGGTTTAATAGCTATAATTCATATTCATCATTGCTAGTGGCCATTAAACTTGTATACAAAATAGCTGACCGTTTGATAAATAATTTAAATATGAAAAAATTATTTTAATTATAGTGGTTGAAAGAAAAAGCATGTCTAACCACGTGTAAAATGCCATACTTAAAATTTTTAGACTCCCAGAATCTTAATGCAAGCATAAAATTTCAGTGAGAAAATTGTACCTTTGTTAATAAATGCTTTCATTTTTAAAAGAGAACTGTCAAAAACGAAAAGGAGCATTCAAAAAATGTTTGTATCAGCTTGCTACTTTACTTGGCGGCATTAGCTATTGTAACTTCTGTACAATTTGTTTTTGAGCCCAAAGGAGGAGTCTATATTTAAAAAATTAGTGCTATAATAAATACGAAGATTCTGAAAATCACAGTAATATTAGCATACATTGGAATAGTACTTTAATATTTACAATCCCCACTTAGAAAATGTCATTTTAATCTTTTTAGCTGTCTTTTGAGACAGATACTACTTTTCCTACTTTGCTTTTGAGAAAATTGACAATCAGGTTTACTCTAATCATGTACTTTATTTAGAAGAGATCTTGGGGTCAAGTGAAGTTCTCCTGACTCTGACATAGTGCTACAACCACTATTAAATTTAAATTTTTTTAATTTAAAAATTAGGTGAGCCCATAGGTGACAAGAAGAAAATGAGACTCTGAGGAGGCAAGAGGATAAGGGAAATGATAGTACTAATGAAAATTAAAATTAAGTGAGATTTTGAAAGGAAATAAGTTTGGTAATGTTAGTATTAGTATTTGATTATTGTTCATAACAAATGAAAATTGAATATGAAGTGGACAGTCATTGGCTTTGGTATAAAATGAACTAAGAAAGTTAGCAAATCTTTCAGCAACATGAACTCTTACTTAATATTAATAAATCTCTAAGACATCAGCAATCAGAAGGGCAGTTAATTTTGTTTCAGAAAAATTTAATGTGACTGAGCATAATGAGAAATAATCTATATGGATTTGTCATGAAATAGTATTATCTATTTTTGTGCCCTGAAATTGGAAGTTCAAAAGTAAACACTGACTTTAATTTCTTGCTCCCTGTGCCACTATGTTGATAGACTATGAAAAATTGGAATGACCACTTGTTAGAGGCTTAGGATTTTATTTGCATATTTAGACATAGCCATAATAGATGCTAAGGCAGTGATTCTTAGACTTTTTCAGGAAATAGACTACCTGGAAGTCTCTATGATGATTGTTGTAGGGCTTTATATCTCTTCCATATTTTCAACTCCCCATAATAATTAGGACATTTTAAATTATCAATAAATGTAACCATCTTATATGAAGGAATGCAATATAAATCATAATCAGTATTTTTCTATTGGTATCACTAGGCACTCATTATTCATTTGTCCATTACTACTACTACTTACTAGAAAAGTGAGGCAAGAATTAAAGACTTTTTTAGAAAAAAGCATGGAACCAAAATTTAAACTTGATTATCCCCTCATCTTAACATCCATAGGAGTAGTATCCACTTTTACTGCTGTAAGGTGAAAGGTAGAAGCAACTGTCTTTTAATCATTATTTAGGGAACAGAGTTCAAAGGATATTAAAATTCTGTCTTAAAAACTCTACACACTGAAATTTAAAGTCTTAAAATGAACAGGTTTTCTGTGAGCTTTTTGTTGTTGTTGTTGCCTACTTATTTCTGA